TTAGAATTGGGTTCAAAAACGCCCTATATCGACATATTTTCAATTAGGTTGTTCACACTTACTTGGTTATCAGGTTATCTGGTTAAAAATTACTATTCTGTAGTGTATTTTATAGTTTTAAAGTGAATAAAAAATATAACCACATAACCAGATAACCTGATAACCAAACAAGTGTGAACCACCTCAATATATTTTCAGTTGAGATAAGGCGCTTTTAACTAAATTCTGAGATAGGACGCTTTTGAAAAGTTTTCTGAGATAGGGCTTTTTCGAACAGGCTAGGCCGATCTTCCAATCAGGTGTCGACATGTAAACTTTTAAACAAAAAATTACTCACACATTTTGAATTTTCCAAATTTTGACTTTAGTTTTGTTATTATCCACCACTGCATCCGCCATTTTCAATTTTTGAAAACTAATTTCAGTTTTGTAATCGACGACTCTTTCGACGAGAACTTTCGGACGCCCAGTTTCAAAAACATGATTTTTTTTTTAATTTTTTTTTTTAAATATATCCGCCATATCCTGCACCATTTGAATTTTTAAAAACTTATTTCAGTTTTTTAATCAGCGACTTTGAATAACAAATTTCACAAAATTCTTACATTTTTTTAAATCCGTCCGCAATATTAGATAGATCCGCCATTTCTGGTTCCAGTTTTTTAATCAGCGACTCAGATAACCTTTGAATATCAAATTTCATAAAAATCTGAAAAATTTTTCAAAAACCATCCGCCATATTTGATCCGCCATTTTGAATTTTGTAAAATTGATTTCAGTTTTTTAAGCAACGACTCAGAGAACCGTCGAATATCAAATTTCATAAAAATCTGAAAAAAAAAATTTTCATAAACCATCCGCCATTTTGAATTTTTGAAAACTAATTTCAGTTATACAATCAGCGACTCAAAACACTTTTAAATATCAAATTTCATAAAAATCTGAAATATTCAAAAGTCCATCCGTGATAATAGAAAGTAGTTGCGCCATTTGGAATTTTTGAAAACTGATTTCTGGTTTGTAATCAGAAACCCCAAAAATGCTTGCATACGAAGTTTAATAAAGTTTAAAAAATTACAAAGCAATGTTCTATTGACCGATTCAGCATAAGAGTTGTCTAGGAAAACAGCAAAATACCGGTACTTTTTTTTGTCTCTACTTTTCGAAAATGCTTGAATATTTCATGGGTGAAAAATTGTGTCGGACAGTGTAATACATACGAGAATTATGGGACAAGGCAAGAGCCTTATCAACGTTTCGCTTACATTGTTGTCGTTTTTTTGTTATCAAAAATACTTCAAATTGATGGAATCAGCATGTAGATGTGTACGTATGTCGTCAACTTTTTCTCAAAAATATAACATTTTAACTTCAAATTGTCTACTGTTGGCATAGTTGATATTGCAATAATTTTGATTTTTTTTTTTTTTGTTCGTCAAATCCATATGCCAGAGCATTGCTCAAACTGCAGCATTCGGAGAAAACAAGTGCATTCTTCTTGTTTGACAAGCAAATAGAAAACTTAAGTTGTTGTGCATTCAAACGCCGCACGGTATGCTATGAGCTAGCTGATGATTGCGTAAATACATACATGCATACATATGTACATATGTATGTTGCCTGCACGTTGCAAGTCTGCACATAGTAGCGCAATTTCCTTCTTTCTCTCAGCACACACACACATTCAAATATGCACATCCACATAAGCAAGTTGTGTATGACCGGAAGGTAAACAAGATATTGCAAACAAATTTTTTTATTGCACCTTCACCGGGCAGAGTGGCAACGTGTTTTGGTCAATGGCACCCAGCCGGCACGTACATGCATACCGGGGTCAGGTGTATTCAATGGCGTTATAGTGTGACACTACGTAGTACATTTGTATGTATGTATGTATGTACGTTTGATTTTTATTGCATTCGTCTACCGCATTTGGAAGCTGCTGTGCCATTGTAAGCATACTCTGCTTGCTCTGCCATGGATGGATGGCTTGTTATTTGATGTTGTCGCATGGCGATCATATGTGCTATTTGCGAAAATAAATCTGCACAATAATTTTTTATACCGTAGTTGAATTTGATACATTTGTTGGCGAAAAATTTAAATTGATTTATCAAGTTATAAATTGGAAAATTTACATTTGTTAGCTTAGCACATATGTATGTACATACATACGTGACACAAAAAGCATTTTATTTATTTGAGTAGCGCATTAATGCGAGACATAGAATAATACTCGTAACTAAATTGAAATTGAATGTTTTAGAAAATTAGTAGCGCATTAGCTTAACTTAAATCTATTCATATAAAATTGATGCAGATGACTTGAATCGTATCAAATGTGGTTCTACATTTCCACTGGAATTATAAAATTTATTTTATACATATAAAGACCTCAGCCAAAATATTTTAGAAAAATATTGAGATGAACATATCTCGAGTTGTTTATAAAAACGTATTTTTTTTTTTGATTTTTTCAAAACCTTACCATTTTGATAATAGGAGAGTCTGCATTATGGTAACGGACTCGGTTTTCCCAAAACGGGTTTTCCAGTACCCAGTAAACCGGATTTTTCAATCGAGTGAGCCGGCTGTTCACCTAGTATATTTATATCGATACCAGGGATGGGCAGATTTTTGGCTGTTAAAGCAGTCAAAGAGCCAGCAAGTGGCAGGGTAAAAATGAGGTGTAACAAATACCTAAGTACAAAAGGCTCCTGGGAGCTACTTTGCCCATCTCTGATCTATGCCATAGTCTAAAAATTCGAAATATTTACATAATTTATTAAAAATGAAACTAACAAACTAAATATATAGAACAAATTTAGTAATTAACGGACTTAAAAGTGGGGGAGGTTATCAATTCGCAGAATATATATATATTTTTTTTCATATATACGCTATAACTTTAGACCACTTGAACCGATTTCGATAAGTCTTTTTTACTGGAAAGGTGTTACCTCAATGGTGGTCCCATACTAATTTAGTTTAGATCCGGTAATTGCGTCATGAAAAAATTAACGGTATTCCTAAAATTTGTATATTAGAAGCGAAGTCGATTGTGGTTTTTGCTTAAAAATTACTTGTTTCTTATCTGAATATTAAATTTTTTTTTACATATTTCCTTAGATATTATTTTGCCTTACTGATTTCTAATTTAAAGCTATACCTCCCTTAATTTTTTTATGATTTCTGACTAACAGTAAGTGTTACTGTAAGCAAATATGTAGAATAAAACCGTTTTATCCAGTTTTATTCTTAATTTTAAAATAGGGAACCAGTTTTCTTCAAATAGCCATTTTTCGAATAACTCGAAACCCGGTTTCCGAAAAAAGTGAATAATCGAATACCCTAGTCTGCATGAAAATGTTTGAATATTTTACCAGCGAAATCGAAATAATTCACATAAATATATATATATATATATGGGCGATTCCAGCGAAAAGTCCACCGCGTAAAAAAATTAAAAGTCCTATATCTAACTTTTTTACAGGTCTATTTGGCTGCTTTTTTTTACAACGCTTTTATCAACTTGCAATGTTGTGTGTCCAGAAACTTTCAATGTTGTGGATCCAGAAACTTTCAATGTTGTGTGTCCGACACCATAAAACCTTTGCTTTGAAAAGTTCCTATAAAAAAGCATAGTACATAGGGCGACATCTGTAGTGAATAGGGCGAGGTAGATGACATCTAGATGTCGCCCTATGTACTACGTTCGCTACAGCGGAAATAGACGACACGCCATTTCTTTAAATAAAATTAATTGGTGCTCGTTTGTATGTACATACATATGTAAAAGCATGTGTGCGCACCTTTCTATTAATATCGTTGAATTATTTTAATATCTATCGCAAAATTTTATACAGACAAGACAAAAAAGTAGAAAATAAATAATATAAAAAAAAAACTTTTTAATATACAACGCTTTTATAAATGGACTAAAAAGTAGAAAATAATATTTCTCAGTCCCATAGAATTTGTTTTTATAACTTTTGATTTTGAAATTTTAGCAAAAGTCGTTATAACCAATTTATGAGATTGAAAATGAAAAGCGTGGGGCGCATGCAATACAAAGCATTATATTTAATTGACAATAGGCAAACTACATAACATAGACCTAAAATTTCTTCAGCGAAAGTACAAATTTGAGATCGATTTTAAGCGGTCGTTATTCATATATCCACATACATATGAACATATATTACCCTTCATATCAATTCAGGTGGCTATTATATGCGCCCCTTTTCATTTTCAATCTCATAAGTTGGTTATAACGACTTTTGCTAAAATTTCAAAATCAAAAGTTATCAAAACAAATTCCATTGGGCTGAGAAATATTATTTTCTACTTTTTAGTCCATTTATAAAAGCGTTGTATATTAAAAAGTTTTTATTTTATATTATTTATTATAATATATACAGGTTATGAAAAATGTTTGCCAAAAATCCCTTTTGTCGGGCAAATAAAAAATACTAATTAGGTCTCTGCTGTCTGGGTTTTGGTTGATTTTGAACAACCACTTTTAAAGTAGAGACCTCTTCTTCGCATAATAAAGACCAAAAAAAATCTGTGTTATGAATCATAAATTTTCATCAAAACTGACCACGGTGCAATGTGATGTATTGAAATAAAGTCACATATTATGCAACGTTAAAAAATGGCAAAGAAAGAATTAAAGAGAAATTCTTAAAACAAACATTCGGAAAATGCGTGCACCCAGCAGCATTCGCTCGAATGCTCGAATAGCAAACACTTTCCAAGCACGAAACACTATAAATGCACCATTTATGATGGCGCTGCTGGCAGTTCCAGTGAATAAACAAGACGAAACTGCAAATTCACGCAAAAAAGCTTTAATAAAAAGCATCTCAATTAAGTAGTGCATAAACATTGGATATAAATAACCCTCAGTAAGGGTCGTAGTGCTAGTTTAAATCACAACAACAACAACAATCAATCTATATAACTACGAAAATAACACCCGCACGCGACACAACAAAATGCAACTGCAATACGCCATCGCCACCGCCACCGCCACCCACCACCCACAACACTCAAACACCCGGCGGCTGCTGTTGCTTACCACCACCATCACTTTTATTGTCGCCACACTGCTGCCCACCCACACGCTAGCCGCCTACAATAGCGACCTGTCCGATAGCCCTGCTGACGTAACCGAATCAACTGAAAATGACAGCTATGCCGGCAACAGTTACGCCAGCAACAGCAACAAGTACAGCAACAGCGGCAGCAGGAAATGCGACAAAAACCCACTGGCTGCACTCACCTTCCAGCTAAGTGGCAACAATCTGCGCTGGCCTTGCGAATCGACCAAGAACATTTACGTACAATCCGGCCGCTATGTGCCGCGCAATGTGATCGTGACGCGCGCTCAGCTGCAACGTGATGACGCTTTCGTCGCATTGCCACGCTACAAACAGGGTGTGCCATTCACATTGGGACGCGTGCAACTGAAGAAGGGCGAATGTGTGGCGAAGATAGCGCCCTATCCATGCTGGGCCATTCAAGAGGAGGGCAATTGTCAGGCATTGCAGTCTGTCGTCGATATCGTTGTGGATGCGAATGTAAGTGCATATGCCATTTAGTGCCGCGCAGGCTGTGGCGTCGAGTGTAACAAAATGCAAGAGCATACATAGTAGCTCTGTGGAGCATTGCGCTGCACTACGACGCTGGTCCTGTGGGGCGCTTTGGTAATAAATCTAGTTAGTTATCTAATCTAGCATATTTAGTGAATATTTAATTTATAGCAAATAACTACGGACGTGTACGTTTGTGTGTTGGCTTTTGCGCCCGTGTACGCGTGAGTGTGTGCTAATGTTAGTGCGCTGGTGTTTGTGTTTGTGCTACCAATATTAAATTATGTGTTGTCGCCTTGACAGTGCAGACAAGGTCACTGCCAATGGCATCGTGTTTGTGTGTGGGGGGAGGCGAGGGTCAAAACATGTTGGGCAAGACATAGATACAATGCGATATCATCTGACATCGCAACTGACATTACAATTGCAAAGTTTTTGCTTTGCCGCTGCTTAAGCCCATGGTAAATGCGAAAAATGGCCAGCTACATACTAGCAAAAACAAAACGGAAAAATAGTACATAGAGCGAGAATTAGTTTATTTAATGCAAAAAGGTCTGATGCGCCGCCTGTCACCGAGGGACGCTCTTATCGCTGCCGACCGTCGTATGTATTGTATGTATGTAGTGGCCAAGAGGCATATGCTGCCATACTACTCGCATCCTCCGAGTGACTGCTATGAGCAGAAAAAGGGACAAAAAGAATTTGCTTTGCATTTTATGCAAAAGTTGACTTTAATGTTTAACATAGAGAACACTAGAAGATATGTACATAAATCGCTAGCTTAGAGTGAAAAGTTGCCCAGTACACTTTTTATGAAAAATCAAAATGCATCGTTTCGAATTTTGTGTCGTTCATAAGTTTTTTTTCCTCTCGTCTAAAATTTGTAAAAGGGGACTAAGCAAATTTTCACTCTAAACTAGCAAAATATATTTGTGTCAATCCTTGAAATTTGGTCTAAACTTTTTTTTATCATATAACGAGATTCTGAAAAAGGAAAGAAAATAAAAATTAAATTTTTGAAAGTTCAAAATTTGACAATTTCCGGGATTGGGCAATTTAAACTATTATAGTTACAAAAAATAAAATCTAAAAATTTTAAAATTACAGAGTTTGGAAGTTAAAAGATCGTTTAAGCAATAACTTATAAATATCTCTAACTGATGTAAAAAAATGCTAAAATTTTAAAATGGAGTTTTTTTAAAGATATGAATTTTTGAACTTTGAAAAAAATTTATTGCAAACTCTAAATTAAAAATAAATTTAAATTTAACAAAAATTTTTCATCATAACTTTATTTATATTTAGCAAAAAAAAAAAGATTTTCGAACCAAATTTTTTTCTGTAAACAAAAACACCTCGGATGCTTTATGATCATGGTATATTAGTATTGTATAAAAAATTAAGTCAAAAATGTTAAAAGTTTTTGCTTTTAAAATTTTTTAGTTTCATAAAACTGAATTTTTTATTTTTCGTTTTTTATATACTTTCTCTTTATACCCGTAAAAATCAACTTTAAAACGAGACCGGAACCATTTTTGTAACTAGCATTGTTTCTTAGGTGTTGAAAAAAATAAGCTTACAAAATTCCGGAAATTTTGAAATTTAGATTTTTGCATTACTTTCAATAAAAAAAAAAACAATTTTGTTGCCATCAGTTTATAGAATATATCTTTGTACACTTAATAAGAGATCAGACAAGCCTGCAAGTGTAAAAAAACAAAAATTTATTTTGTTTTTCCTTGGCAGAATTTCGTTTACATTATAAAAGAAAACTTCAGGCCAAAATTCATGCAAATCAAAAATTGTATATCCCTACCATTGGTCGATTTGACATGGCTTGGTCCATTTACGTGTACAATACGCGTATTATGTAAATCAGAGTTCGTACTGGGTTTACCTTTTACAATCAAAAAAAAAACAACAATTTATTTAAGCTTGATTTTTTTTTAAGCTAAAAGTACCGATTAATTTATTTTGCTTTTCAAGGAAACGATAAAAGATAAAGTTTGTTTAATATTTTTTAAGAAGAAATCACCCCGTTTTTTTTAACATTAAAAAAATTTAAGTAAAGTTTTTTTTTTTTTGAACTGAAAATTTTCAACTAATTACGAAAGAGCCCGGAAAAGTTCGAAAAAAGTCCCAAAAATATGCCAAAAAGTCCGAAATAAATAAAACAGAAAATTCATTAATCTCCCAAAAAATAATTCCGAAAAGTTCAGAAAAAATCCCGAAGGATTGCCAAAAAAAAGTAAAAAATCCCGAAAAGTACCAAAAATCGAGAAGAGTTTCGAAAAATCCGTACACGAAGAATCCCGAAAGTCCTAAAAAAATTATATAAAATCCCTAAAAATTCGAAACTCGAAGCATACCTAAATTTCCGGAAAAAATGCAAAAAAAATGCCGTAACGTTCCGAAAAAAATGTCACCAAAAAATTCCGAAGATCACCAAAAATTAAGGTTAAAAAAAATTCTAAAGCCCGAAATCAGAATCCCGAAAAATGTGCAGAAAAGTCCCGAAAAGATCGCTTAATCTCGCAAAAAAAGAACTCCAAACATCTTGTAAGAAATACAATGCGAATAATTCCAAAATGTTGCGCAAAAATTTTACCAAACCCCAGACTCGAAATCCCAAAAAATGCAGAGAAGACCCGAAAAATCCCTTAATTTCGCGAAAAAATTTAGTACAAAAATCCCGAAAAATCACGATAGTTGCCGGAAAACTCCCTAAGATCCTGAAGAATCCCGAGGACTAAAACATAAATACTGTCAACAGGTACCCAAAAAAAAATCTTGAAAAATCTTTAAAAGTTTCGAAAACGCCTGAAATATCACGCAACCTTTATACATTTAAATATAGCTGTATCGATATATGTATGTATGTACAAATGTACATACCTAATATTATTTATGACGATGCCAAAAAATATGCCGATAATATTTTTTTTGTTGTTAACAAATGAAATCTAAATTAATAGATAGTCAATGCTTGTCAGCTCCTCAAATAAAAAAAAAACAACAAACCAAAACAGTATTTAGTTAGCTAACAAAACATACTCAAACTCTCTTAATACGAGTATATTGACATTTAAATCCACTTGCGGCATTCAATGGCCCAAAAACAGCACAATTTGGAGTCGAAATTGTCATATCAACTAAAAGAAATTTAAAGCCACACAATCATTTGCAACTGACACGATTCACGGTGCCTGCTTCAACGTGTCAACATACATACATTCACATATACATATATCGTACTATTTGTACTATGTACACAGATACTATTTAATTTATATAGAGCAGCGTTAAAGTGAGCGCAGTAAGAAGTAAAACCAAATATGTATGTAATGCAATAAAGTCCAATATGATGAGTATGAAACGGAGAAGAATATTTCAGAAAACAAAGAAAAAAAAAATTTAAAGAAGAAAAATTGGTATGCTTCTATACTACTTACATGGATATGTACATGTACGCATTAGGGTGGTCCAAAAAAGAAAAGTCAGAATTGTAATGCTCTCACCCCTAGAATTTTTTGTTTCCAAAAAAAAGTGCACACCTATTTTTGTATTTTGCAATCAAAAAATATTTAGAGGCCGCTCAAAGTGCTCCATATTTTCGATATAAATATTTTATATGGGGAAAAAACAACTTTTGGAGAAATAGTATAGAATTCTTGAAAATTAATATTTTTCGATCGGACTCTCTGGTTCTCTTCAGGAGACCTGCAGTAACAATATCCAATTGTTTGTGTAACCACTTTTTAATAATAAGATTGCATTTTTCGGGGTTTTTGGTAGGCCTATAAATTATATTATTGAGAATCTTCTGCAGAGAAAGAGAGTTTCCGATCGTAAAATATTGATTTTTGAGAACTCTATACCATTTGTACGAAAAGTTGTTTTTTTTTCACATATAAAATACATGGAAAACTTTTTTCGGCATAGAACATTCCTAGGGAGTGAGAGCATAAAAATTCCGACTTTACCTTTTCACATGCATTTTTGGACCTCACTAGTAAGCATACTATGTACTTGTACTACATATAGACGTATATATATTGGTATATAAGTCAATATTCCACAATTTTTGAATTTTATTTGTTCACAGCTATTCGTTTTCCGTATGCTGTTCGGCAATGTTTACAATAAAACTTGCTGTGTCAGTTACAGAAGAAATGTTTTTTTTATCTTAAGAGTTAAAGTACACCAAGACGATTTGGCTTCAACTTAGAAGAAAAATAATATCTGGGAGTTGCTTTTGATTTCTATAAAAAAAAATATTTAAGGGATTTGTTGGATACCCATATTAAAATAGCTTATTAAACTTATTAGTAAATATTATTTTAAATTTCTAAAGAAGTGGCTCCCTCTTCAAATATATTTTAGAAATAAATCTTACTAAATCTCTTCCGTTTGACATGCACAGTAAAATATTTTATTTGACTTGTTAATTAATTCGATCTTTAATTTCCAAACAGGTGGCAATCCTCTTCAAAAATATGTTCGAAATGAAGATTTTTTATACCTCTCATTGATTTTATTGCCATATAAAATATTGTATTTAAATTAAATTTATTAAATTGATATCGAACTCAAAAACCGGTGGCAACCCTCTTAAAAATATATTTCAAAATAAAGCTTTCTTAAATCTCTCTCGTTTGGTAACCAGATAAAAATATTTCATTTAACTTCTTTTTTAAATTGACTTTCTCATTTTGAACAGATGGCAATACTCTTCCAATTTATTTCGAAATAAATCATTTTAGTATTCTTTTCGTTTTGCACCCACAATGTTGTAATATTTTATTTAGCCTTTTAAAAAATTGATTTTAACTTTTGAGAATGGTGGCAACTCTCGCCAAAAAATGTGGGTTACTAGTAATAGAATTTTAGTTATTTTTAATAATAATATAGTTTATTCTTTAACAAAATCTTTTCTACTTAGTTCTTAATTCCTTTTCTTAAAAAGATTAAATTTTAATATACTAAAGAGGAATTTTGAAATGGATTATTTTTTGATTTTTTTTTTTTTTTTGTTAAAGGTGTCGCTAATTTTCTCCATACAAAATTCGTCTTGTATGCAGTGTTGCCAGTTTGACGATTTGGTCGGCATTTTGAAGAGTTTTTTTTTTGCCATGACGATCTGACAATTTTTGTGACCCATTGACGATGTGTACTGGGACATATATTTCATTGAGCCAAGAAAATTATAAATAAGTTTTTTAGCAAAGCTTGTAAAACTTAAAAAAAAAAAAAATGAAAATGCGATTTTATTGCAATTAAAAATATGTTTGTTAAAAGTAATGCGAATTTTAAAATTTCGTAAAAGAGTTAAACTTTTTATTTTAACGTCTAGCAAACAGAAGCTAGAATAAAAAGAAGAAAAGAGCTTCCTGGTTGTGTTTATTAAAATTTTTTATATGTTGACGATTTTTACATGCAAATGACGATTTTTGAGATCCAAACTCACTTCAATGGCCTGGCAACACTGCTTGTATGTTCGACGAAAAGCCGGAAATTTTTGCGGAAGTTTGTTAATTTTTTTAAATATTGCAAAAAGTTTGAAACTTTGGAAACTTTTTTGTAAAGACTTAACTAAACTTTTACAAAAAAAAAATAACGGCACTTTGTGCTTAGAAAGCTTGTCAATTTAAAATGTTTAGTTTGCAAATCACTTATTTAAGTAATTTAATCACGCCAGGCAATATAACTGCGAAACGCAAAAACTTAAATCTTTATGCATTTAAATTAAATATGTTTATACATACATACGTAGCCAAATGTAAATACATGTGTACAAAGGTGCATATGCATGCACTCATAAGTAAATATATTACGCTGCAATAATATTTCCGCACACTGCAATTTTCCGAAAATTGTTGAGTGGGCGGGCGTGCGTGTTAATTTGCTGATCATTGACGGCGGCTAAGCAGCACCATTTGGAAACGATGACAGTGACAATGGCAAGTGGAATTTATGTTGACTTTTTGACCAAATGTTGGTATTGCGTGCTTAAAATAGTACCTCGCATATGATTGCATGAAATAGTGAAATTTACGTAAAATAAAAAAAGTTTGTATTTTTGAAATCGAATTCATAAAATCATTTGATTAAATGTATCTGTTTAACTGCCACCAAATATATCCGATTATAAGCTTTATTGCGTACGCATGGAAATTATTTGCCAAAAATTTAATTAAAATTTAGTTATACGCATAGAAATCATTGGGCAAACAAACAACGGTTTCTGTCGTTGATTGAAATGTGATCGTTATCAAATTTAGTAGATAGCTTATGCTTCTGGATACACATACAATTTGAAGGAAATAATAACTTTTTTTTAATACAATCTCGGTATTAAGAAGAAGAATTATTGAAATAATAGACAGTAATATTTATAACAAAGTGAGGTCTTTATATATGGAATTTCTTATATGTATATATGTATGTATGTTTGTGGGTCAAGTCATATCAAATCGACGAACATTTGGTATCGATCATTTTTGGTTTGAATGAATGTTGGTCAGAACTTATCTTTTATCATATAAGGAAGTTCTTTTATAATATAAAAAATTTTTTTTCGGAAAAAAATTGCTTTTTCGAAATTTATTAAAAATTGTACATATAAAAATTTCCGAGATTTTGAAATTTATTTTTTGTTTATTTCAAAAATTGTTATATGTAGTTACCAAGATTTTTCTGATATCGTTTTCAAATTATATTTAGAGTTCTATAGAAAAAAAAAAACGAAAATAAAAAAAGTTACAGAATTATGAAATTAATAAAATCATAAAAGCAAAAACATATAGAGACTTTAGGCTTTATTTTTTTGTACAATACCTCCAACTGTTCTTAAAAGATCCTGAAGCTTTCAAAAAGCTGTTTTTCTTAAGATTTGAATTTTTGAACTTTAAAAGAAAAATTTTTTGCACACTCTAAAAAAAGTTATATTAAAAAATCTTTTATTTAATTTTATTTTATTGCAATAATTTTTTTAAAGTACAATACTTCATATATTAAAAAACTTTTTTTTTTAATTTCAGGATCTATGAGCCAAAAAATTATTTAAATTTTTCCTTTTACTGTAATTCATTTATTTTATTTTTAGAATATCGCCTTTAGAACGAGACCAGAAACATTTTTTAATTATAAAAAAAAATTTTAATACACACGAAACAAACAGTATACTCACAAAACAGTGGGCCAAATATAGTAAAACTGAGTTTTTGCTTTTTCACTCTGATTAGGATTGTTTTCAAAGATATGATTAATTCAAAAAATTATATAAGAAAAATCAGTGTAACATAGAAAAACAATATGGGTACTAAACGAAAGAAAAAATTCTGTAGAATTTAAAATTATTAAAGTTTAATTTTTTTTGTTTACAGGGACGAAAAGGAATGATCGTGTGTATATTAGTCCTTAACATTTAGTTAAAACAATAAATAAAATTGTAAATTTTTCAGGATATTCAAGGACAAAATTTTAAAAGTTCATTTTCCATACCCATTCGTCCTTATGCAACAAATTAAATCTGCATTGTACAAATTTTTTTCTTTTATTTGATACCCACATTGTTACTCTATATTCCACTGAATTTTTTAAATAATTTTTTGAATAAATCATAATTTTGAAGTTTCAAAGTCCTTTTAAAAAATCCTATCGTCAGAGAAAAAATCTAAATACGCAGTTTTATAATATTTTGTCCATATTTTCGTGAATATACAGTGACGCAAACAAATGAGCACGTGTTAATTTTCTTCAAATATTCGTAATGTTTTACGAGCTAAATTTTTTTGTTTGTTATTTCTTTGTAAAAATATCATCTAAGCTTGAACCAAAATCGTGTAAATCACAGTTTCAAACTTTATACAAAATTTAGGAAAATCCAACAAATTTTCACCAAAATTTCAACTTTTTATTCAGAATTTTTAGAAAGTTTTTGGGTATGCCCATACAATTTTAATCTTATGATTTCTGAGATTTATTTTTTGTGACGGATTTTTGCACTTTTTTCATATAAGTATGGATTTCTTATGAAATAGAACGCGGGAGACCGTCAGCAACGAAATTTCAAAATATCAACGCAAGTTTTTGTAAATTGCGCTTTTTATATTAAAAAACCCGGAAAAGTTGCCTCTAAAAAAAAATTTTCAATATCAACGCGATTTTTTAGCAGTAGTTTAGCAGGAGTTTTTGCAGTAGTTGTTCAAGGATGCGCACAGTATAGCTGCGTGTAATCTAAACGGACAAAGTCCTGTAATAACTTCAGCCTTAACTCTTTAGGTGAAGTAGAGGCCTTGTGCGTGGGATATTAATGGTTGGCCAAAGTATTTTGGTAATATAAAAATTTGGCTCCTCCTCCTTTTCTTTACCAATTTCTATGAATATTTTATTTAGTAGCAGTTAATATGCTAGAATAGAGATCCAAATTTTATCCCTCATGTCTTTATTTTAGTCTTAAAATTCTCGATTATTTTTCAAAACTAATATAAAAATTTTAATTCTTTTACTTTCAGGGTCTTCTTTGGGCCTTAGACGTTGGTCTTGTAAATACGCTGGAGCAACCGATACGTCGCTGCGGTCCAAAGATCGTGGCAATCAACACTGCTGACAACAAAGTAGTAAAAAGCATAGATTTGAGTGATCTGGTGACTGCCGAATCTCGTTTGCAATTCATCGTGGTGGACTATTCAAAGGATAATAAGCCTTTTGTGTAAGTAATTGGGGCATAAACTTCTCTCAAACATTCTCCATAGATCTACAACCATTTTTTTTGCATCTTTCATATAGCTACGTTGCGGATGCGGGTGCGCGCAGCATACTTGTCTACGATATCTCTGACAGCAAATCGTATCGCATCGTTTTGCCCAAAGCAACTGCACCCACGACAGATGTGCTCTACATGGCACTTACAACGAGTGCAGATGGTACTTCGACACTCTACTTTACCTACCTCAGCTCACCACGTTTGTACTCCATACGCGGTCAGTACTTGCGTGTTGGCCAGGGTGCCGGCTCGATTGTGGACGTAGGCGCTAAGCCTTATGGCAAGCAAATGGTACTACTCGGCGCAGATGGTGGCACGAATTTATTCTTCCGTTATAAGGGTGAGAATGATATTTACATGTGGAACTCGGAGACTTGCTTCAAGGCAGCCAATTTACAAGATGTACAACACGGTGGTGATTGTCGTCTGTCGACGCAGGTTAGTAAGAAAATAACAGAGCTGGGTAAATGCAATTACATTACAATTACAATTACATTCCTCAGTAATTGTAATTTGGATTCAATTCCTTTAGTTCACTGCAAAGGAATCGATTACTTTTTCAAGTCCTTGAAGTAATTTCAAATGGAATTGTTTTTTTCTTTAATTCCATTACAAGGAATTTCATATTGTAATTGGAATAAATTACGTGCTAGTAATGTAATTTCTTTTATTTCAATTCCTTTGAAAGGAATTGAAAATGTAATTTTTTTTCCAATTCCTTTGAAAGGAATTGAAAATGTAATTGATTTTTTTTCCAATTCCATTCCTCAAAGTAATTTAAAA